ACCTGTTGTTATTGGTCATCTTCACGTGGTCCCCTGGCTTTAGGACCTTCCCGTTCTTCAGCCAGACCAGGTGTGGCTCCGGTTCCCCCTGGGCCACGCAGGTGAACACCGCGCTGCCCCCTGCTGGCCGGGACACGGACTGCGGCCACTGCACGAACTCCGGCGGGGCTGGGGGGGGGGCAGGGGCAGATATTAAAACTCACATATAAGAAATATAAACATTTTATAAATAAATAAATAGTCTAAGTTAGTTTAAAGTTCCTGTAGTAAAGTCTGTATCTCACACTCCACCTCTACCTCCGTTCTTCAGTCTCTGAGCTAAGGGGCCAATAAGAACACCTTTTTAGTAATTATTTCATTATAATATATATATATGTTATTATTTATTTATTTATTAAGGTTTTTAGAACCAATTCCAGGAATTACAGTGTATTCTGATGGGAATATCTGAACCGACATACCAGTATTTTAACATACAAAGTTGGTCCTGGAACCAGTTAAGTTCCTAACTCGGGCGGAGCTGGGGGGGGGGACCAGGGTCAGATATAAAAACTCACATATAAAAGATATGAAATAAAATAAAATATAGTCTAAGTTAGTTTAAAGTTCAGGCAGTAAAGTCAGAGTGAGTTACTTCCTCTGTAGAGGTTCTGCTATATGTGACAGACTCTTCTCTAATCAAACAACCCCACTCACATATAGAAAATATGAAAATTAAATAAAAAATAAATAGTCTAAGTTAGTTTAAAGTTCAGGCGGTAAAGTCTGTATCTCACACTCCACCTCTACCTCCGTTCTTCAGTCTCTGAGCTAAAGGGTCGATAAAAAAACATTTTTAGTGACTATTTCATTATAATTTATTAATTTATTATTTATTTATTTATCTATTTATCTATTTATCTATTTATTTATCTATCTATCTATCTATCTATCTATTTATTTATTTATTTATTTATTTATTTATTTATTTATATATATAGGTTTTTGGAACCAATTCTAGGAATTTCAGTGTATTCTGATGGGAATATCTGAACCAACATACCAACATTTTTACATACAAAGTCTGTCCTGGAACCAGTTAAGTTCCTCTGTAGAGATTCTGCTATATGTGACAGACTCTTTTTTCTAATCAAACAACCCTACTCAAATATAGACAATATAAAAGTTAAATAAAAAGTGAAATTTGATCATATATTCGACTCCACACCCGGATCACATTTCCAACATGACCTCTTAGTCATAGAAAAATATATGAAATACACAATTTAAGTAAAAATAAATGAGCTAAGTTGGTGTAAAGTTCCTGTATAGGGTTAGGGTTAGGGTTAGGGTTAGGGTTAGGGTTAGACTCTTCTCTAATCCAGTGTTTTTCAACCTTTTTTGGCCCAAGGTAACTTTTTTCATAGAAAAAATCACGAGGCACACCACCATCCAAAAATGTCAAACAAATCTGTAGCTGTATAGTAACACTATAGTTATTCTTATCTTATTCTTATCTTATCTTAAGTGTTTTGAATAGGAATCAAATAAACACAAAAATGTATTTTTATCATATTTGATACTTCTTCTTTCAAATTGCACTTAACATGTCCACTTCAATATACAAAATTAAATACAAAATCTAGTCACAAGGAATTATTACATGATTACGCCACCAGTCACTAGAACAGCACAGACACTCAAAAATGGAATATTATTAGCAGATAATTAATTCCTTATCAAAAAGTCTTTTTAGACCAATTAGGTGAAATAGGATGATTTTCTACGGCACACCTGACCATCACTAACGGTACACTAGTGTACCGAGGACCAGTGGTTGAAAAACACTGATATAATCAAACAACCCCAATCACATATGAGAAATACAAAAATGAAATTAAAAATAAATAAGCGAATTTTCCAGCATCCGAAGTGAAATTTGATCAAATATTAGACTCCACACCCGGATTACATTTCCAACATGACCTCTAAGTCATATAAAAATGTATAAAATGCAAAAATTAAGTTAAAATAAATGAGCTAAGTTAGTTTAAAGTTCCTGTATAAAGTCAGAGTGAGTTAACGTTGGTCCTGTATCTCCGTTCTTCAGTCTCTGAGCTAAGGGGCCAATAAAAACCCCTTTTTAGTGATTATTTCATTATAATTTATTTCTTTTTACATCTCCTATATAAGTAATTTGTTTGATTAATTTGTGTAATTATCTACAGTATTTATTAAGGAGTTATCGTAGGTTTTTTGGAACCAATTCTAGGAATTACAGTGTATTCTGGTGGGAATATCTGAACCAACATATGAATATTTTAACATACAAAGTTGGTCCTGGAACCAGTTAAGTTCCTATGTAGACATTCCGTCTCCACTCAAATATAAAAAATATAAAAATTAAATAAAAAATAAACAAACCAGGTCTCACCTCTAACGTTTTTACGTTTCCTCTGGTCTGTTGTGAGTAAAAAGTCGGTTTGTGTAAATCGTCTTTTATCCTGAATTGTGACAACTTTTTTAGATGTAATTCCACCTCTGACCAGCAGAGGGAGGGCTTAGCT